CGTTATTCCTTTATCACCTTTTTCATCTGCTTTTGCCGGTTAAAACGTTATCTCCGCTCCTCCTTCAGAACCAGGCCCTAGCAAAGGGCAGTTACCGTGGCTCACCCAAGGCGGCAACGTGGCGCTGGCCAACGACAAACGCTGCAGGGAAATTTGCAGAAGATTTCAAGGGTCTGCACGGAGGGAAGCAAGGGGAAAGGGTCTTGTCGGCTCTTGTCGGCCAGGCAGACTTAAGCCAGCGCAGTAAAACGCAGGACGGTCTGGCCTTGTCCGCACAGCTGGGCAACCAGGTGGACTACTCTGAACTCACGTGGCTGTGCTTACAGTCTCCTGGTCATACTGAAAAGCAGTACAGGAGGGGAGCGGGCGCTATAGCGCTTTAAAATGATTTTAAGAAAATAACTTCTTCCTTCCCCTTTGGTCATTAGATAAAAGCGGGTCTCCAAAACGGACAAATACCAGCTATATCCAACGCAAATCACTCCTCCTCAGCACCTATACCGGCCCAAAGGCCTGGTGCCAAGCAGCCGCCTCTGAGCCAGGAGGCCTGAGCGCTGCCGAAACTGCATTCCCCAAGCCTGGATCCTGGGAGAGGGGAAATTTTGAGCAATGCCACCCAGGAGGCCTGACCCATTTTCTTCAGAGAAATGCAGTAGGAGCTCAAGAACTTGGCTTTGCTGAGAGGCCCGCGTGCATTTTTTGCGAGCACGGCTGTCAGTCCTCTGGTCGTGCGCCGAACGCGGGCTCTGGCGCACAAAGGAGCATTCAGAGCTGACTCACGCATGCCATTGCGGTCAGGGCCTGTGCACGTTAGCTATGTCCACGGGGGACCGCAGGCCTCTGCTTTCGGAGACGCAGGCTGGGATTTAACCTGAGCCAGCCAAAGCACAGCACAACCTGAAACAGTGGCCCCTGAGCACCTGCGCAAGGACAGGGAGACACGAGGTCTGCATTGACTACAAGCCAAGCCCACTCCACCTCACCTACTGCGTGCTGGTACTTGATCCACGAAGGTGCACCAAATCCTGCACAGCCGAAGATGAGGGAGAAGAGAAAGGTGCCCCGAGGTGTCTTATGGTTTCTCCCCAGGATTTGCATCCAGCTCTCCTTCCTTGGACAGTGGCCGTAAGCTCTGCTCCCAGCACGACAGCAGGTTGACACTAGATGCTCCATCCCCGCTTTGGCTTCAGTTAGAGCCGCCAGCCCAAGTCCACGTCCTTGACGCAGGCTGGACTGACCCCAGAAGCAGGCTGGTTTCCAACTCTCCATCCTTATTGGAAAAGAGGAAAATATAACATATTCTCAATGGTGTTTACGCCTAAGCAACTTATTTGAGGGACTTTATCCTGGACCTTCACATCAGCACACTCAGTGACAGCCATGACCCACCTGTAGAAATCCCATCTGCAGCTCACCCCAGAAACAGCCTGGCACATGAACACTCCTCTGAAAAGCTGTCTTCAGCACTCCGCTGGCAGGGGGGGCAGCCAGCCCTGGGCCAGGGGACACAGGCTGGGGTAAGGAGAAAATTGGGGCGGGGAGGGCTTATGCATTGGTAGAGAGCTTCGTCTTGCCAACTCCACCAGTCTCTGCTGCAGCCAAAAGGGGTAATGCTGCTTCTACTAGCTCTCCCTGTGACTGTGAGCAATTAATCCAGCCAGTTTAATTGCCCCCACACAGAAACATGGATAAGACTATAGGTCTCCTTTGCAAGCACCAAGCAAGAACATTTGGACCCTAGGCAAATGCATACACCTCTCCAGACAGGAGGGACTGCCCCTACTCTCAGGTGATGCACTGCCTTCTTCCACAATCGGATGGCGAATGCTGCTCGAGCACAGTGCTGGTTTCTGGGCTGAAACAGCAGCAGGGAGTGCATGCCTATACACAGGCAATGCTACACACATGAAACCACAGGGTGCACAGAAAGGATGGCGCCCCGATCAGTGCGTGTATAGGTGTTCACAAGCATCTGTGCATATGCATGCGCACGCGCCAGCTCAGGAACGAGGACAGGGTGGAAGGACCCTTTGGCGAGTATTGGTTTGAGCAGTAGGAGCAAGGACAGACTCGTGAGCTCAAGGCAGCGAGGCTGCACTGCACACAAGTGCTCTGTGGAACAGGGCTGTATACTGAATTTATGAGCCCTTAAGTCATCACATTTACAATTTATATTCTCCAGTCTTTTAATCTCAGCAATAAACTTAGACTAAACCTTCACTGGGGCAGTGTGGAAATTTCACTGTTCCCAGCCTCCCCAGCAGCCTCATGTACAAGGAGTCCTTAGACAAGACCAGAACGTGTTCTCCGATGGCTAAGATGTGGGGGTCTCTTCTCCAGTTTCCCACTCCCAGTGAAATCATCAGTAATAGATCAGTCATCCACCTGCTACCTTGATTGCCCAGTACCCCTTCTTGGAGGTAGGCAAAACACACCAGCAATTACTGGGGGGACAAACATTTGCAGTGGTCACCTACAATCCCTCCTGCCTTCTAGAAAAGGGGGCTGCTTCCCTTAATCAGGGGCTCCAGGTCTATGTGCACATCACCAGGATCTTCATGTCAGTTTTGTTCCACCTGGGACTCTGCCATCCCCTCCAAACCAGCCCCATGGTGCGTTTTCACTCACAGAGAGTTGCTTTATCACATAGGCTCTAAACCAGAAGGATCATCTCCAGAAGGTTTCCTGCGGGAGTGATGGCCCTCCGTAGAAACAGGTCTCCAAAGTAGGCACGTCTCTTGCTATCCGACACCTAAAATTGAGAAGGAATTGGCACTGATGAAACTACTAACAGAGGCAGGCCCTCCCTGCTTGGAAGAACCCCATGTTTTCAAAAGAAGGTGGCATCATTTCTGCAGAATGCTTAAGTGGCCTCAAATAACATACTGAACTGTCAGGCACATACCCAAGCGATGGCGCGAGCCAGCACTGAAATAATGAGAAGCTGATCTACAGCTTTTCCCCTCTGGTTTATTAAATGAATGTTCCACATACCACTTCCCACTGACTGGAGACAGAGAGAAAATCCCAGGACAATAACTCATCATCCTTTCTTCCCCTGAGAAGATTCAAGGCTGTGGCTATGTATGGATGTTGTGAAGTGATAAAGTTGCTGCGGCTTCGCAAGTTACCACGCATCAGCTGAGCCGTGCTGCCTGACCGCGCGCACGCTCCAAACTCCTTGCAACTGGGTGGTAAAACATGTTCGCTCACGATGGGGCTGGAGCAGGTACTCCATCAGCGTGCTCCAGATAAGCATGCTCTGCTGATAAGCAGTACCTCATTAAGCCCCAGGACTCAACGGCTTGCAACGCAATCTTTGGCCCAGAAGTCGTCCCTCCTCTTTTCAAGTTGTAGCCCTTAGTCATGGAACTGGCAATGGGAAATCGCTCTGGGAAAGCGGTCAATGTTGCATGAATTCCTGTGCGTAGAACGTAGAGAAAGGAGAGTCACAGACCATGCCAAGGAGGAGGAACAGGAGAAAGACTGGCCAGCTGTATTTCAGAGTACAACCTCAGGGTAGCCATGCCTGGATGAGGATTCTGCAGATGACACATAGATATGACCCAGGCAACGAAGCTTAAGTGCTCTGAGTTCTGTCAGGACGGCCTAGATCAGAGTCAACGGACACAGTTTACAGCACAGCCTGGGTTTTCCAAGACAGGAAGAAGGCCTTGCCCTGGGCATAGGGCATGATCTAACATAAAAAATATGCCAGTCCCCTTGACTCCACTAAGCAGGACCAGGCCCTCTGTTTGGCTTCATACCTCAAAAAAGGGTGGTTTCGTGAGGTACCTGACATTTGCCAGCCCCCAGAACATGGGTGTCTTCTTGCTTGAACCTTGGTTTAGCCTCAAGCCCCAGCCTGAGCGTCAGAAGAGGCTATATCCAGACCCAGCTCTCTGTATTCCTCCTTCAGCTCTGTCTTTCAGCCTCCTGGGGGTCCCGTTTCACCCAGAACTCCCCAGAGCCATTCCACAGCTCTTCACTGCGCTGAGCCTGACACACAAAATCACTGCATGGGACACACAAAACCTCCCTCTTGCCAGCCGCAGGAGTGGGAGGCTGGAATCCATGTCATTTAAGCTTTTTCTGCTCAACATTCACAGCTGCAAAAACAGCAGGCAAACTCCTGACCTCCTAAAACTAAATACCAGGCATCTACCCCCTCTACTCTGGTCCACCCAGACGCTCTCGGTGCGGCAGCTACATCCGTTCAGGGCAGGTTCTCGCTGTCGAGATGTTGCCCTTGCATTTTGAGAAGTGAGGAAAGGCTCTTTGGGGTAAACCTTCTATTTATTTTTAAATCGCCTTCCCCGAGGCTGGCAGATCCCTTTGTTCCCCCACTAGGAGGTCGGCATAATGCACTCGCCATGCGATACGACTTAGGAGCAAGCCACACACACCCCTCGGCCAAAGCCGATTCCAGTCCCACTCCCAAGGAGAGCCGTGCAGCAAGGTCCCCTCTGGAGAGGCAGGAAGGCGGCGAGCGCAATCTCCCCTCTGACGGGGCCGTCGTGGGGTGAGGCATCTGACGACAGTTTGACTGGTGGAGCGAAGTGTGACTCTTGTTTGTTTGGATAGTCAAAGGACTTGGAACAAATGTCTCAGGCTCATGTTGTTTTAGATAAAAGGATCCCAGCCTTGTCATGGGATCAACGGGGCTGCCAAGAAACCACTCGTGAAGACCCCTTTCTCCCCTAGACCCTTTTAAAACAGAAAAACAAACAAAAAACACCCAGAAAACAAGAAAAAAGGAAGTTTTCCCCAACCCAAAGACAATCCTTTTTGAACCAGGACCGGCTGAAGTGGCAGGAACAGGGACAGGGATCACGATCGCAAGTCTGAGGTCACGTGGGGCTTGGGTGACCGAAAGCTTGGGACGTTTTACCTGTTGGTGCCTTGTGTTTTGTTTCAAATCGAACCTGGTGGACAACTGCTGGCCTTGCAGCGGTGGCGGTGCCTGGTGCGGGGGCCCGGTGGAGTGCAGCACCCGCACCCATCTGGCATTCTGCAACAGCGAGCAGAGGAGAGCGAAGGAGGGGGTGGGCAGAAGAGAAAATCCCAAAGATCCTAGGATAATAAGCACCATTAAGGTTAGTCTGTCTCATGATTGTTTCTTATTAAAAAGAGACTGTACTTTATCTGTGCAGGATATGCTGTTTGGATGAGGGAATTAGCAGAGTGACTGCCTCCATATCATCTAATTAGCAAAAATGTTGATAAGCAGATACAATCACATATGATTAGGATCCTTTTAAAAAGCCACTCCATTAATTAAATAGACAGAAAGGCCGCCTCCAGCCCTCGCGTGCCACTGATTAGAATACAAATATTTACACTAATCTCACCTCCATCAGCCATGGGACACTTTTGAGTATTTTTAGTGACATCAGATTACTATTGATTTTCATCCCCAATGTCAGACCATTTTGTTAGTATCTGAAAGTGCTGCCTTCAGTTTCGGATGCTTTAAATCATGTTAAGGGTTTATCTTAATGACGCTGCTGATAACCACTGTTCAGGTCACTCGTACTTTCTCTTCAAAGAACACAGTCTGGGCTGGTTTTTATTGTTTGTACTTGAGATTTAAGATACGAAAAACATTTCTCATTTCAAAGCCTTGGTTTCTAGGGATGGGACTGCCAGGCTAGTTTGGGTCTAGTTACTTGATGTGTGCATGTCTTTCTCCTTTCCCTTTCTCTCGCTCTTTCTTCGACCCTTCCTTTTTTCCTTGCAAACCCTTTTGGCTCACAGCAGTGGCCTCTGTTGAATGGCTGCTAATCTCTGACGCCTGCTGCAGGCAGCAGACAGACAGGCAGTGAGCATCCCCCGTTCCACGATGACAGGAGAAAAACACTCCCTACTTTTCAGATAGGTAGGATGCACTAAATCCAAGACAGACAATCCAGTGTGCCAGCCAGTCTGACACGGGCACTCACCATCAAAAGCGAGGCGCAAGGGAGGACATGTTGCTCAGAGAGCACAGCACAAGGCAGAACTGCCTCCTTCCTTCCTTGCATTGCCCTGTTCTCCCTGCAATAGCTCACTGGCCTTACTAAAAACTCCCCAGGACCCTCCAACAGGCTGCTCAGACCTGCCTCTGGCTTCCCATTTTCCCTTCTGGGTAACAGAGAGCAGGAACAGCCATAGCTCAAATTTCTGCTGAGAAACTGCAAACGGCCCACATTGGTAGCGATGAGGAGCCATTGGCGCCTTTTGGTGGCTTGAGCGTGAAAAGCTTGATTCACCCTCAGCTCTAACAGACAGCCATAGAAAACACCACACCAACTAATTGAAGCCGCTCAGTGAAGATTTCAACCAAGGCACCACAGTCTGAGTGAGCCATAAAGGCTAACCTTTCCCCTCAGCACAGGAGAGTACTGGGATATGTTGGGATGCAGCTTGCTGCTGCGCCCAGATTAACTTTTCCCCTTGTTACAGTACCGATAACACCCTGCAGAACTATAATTCACAAGGCATCATCCTCCTTCCGGTTAACAAGACCTCCTACACGTGGGTGAAGGCAGAACCCAAGAGCTCCCCAGCGAGGTGACTCCACATAGCCATGAACTCCTCGGAGTTCATTGCCTTGCACTTCCTTCAGCTCCAGCCGCCAGATGGCCACTGCACTGGCTCATGGTGACTTTCACTGCTGGGCCAGAATATGACAAGTACCTCCCTAGCACTGGCCCATCGCTGACTAAGAAGAAAACCAGCAAAAGAAAGCCCTTCTCCCATGGTCATCAGCTCTAACATCTGTTTCCCTTCCCCTGTAGCATTGCTTTGTACAGGCTGACATGGCTGCCCCTAGGCTTCGTGGCCCCACACGTACAGTATGCGCTAGGAGAGCAGCCAGCTCATACGCTGCGCATATGCTCTTTGGTACGGATGGCTCTTGCTTCCTTCCCAAAGCGTGGGATAATGGAAACGAGGGCAGTGATTTGCAACATATGCTGCCATTAGTAGGTGTTTATGACACAATGTTACAGGACAGCTGAATTCTCCTTACTGGCACTTCCTTGGAGACCTCCTCCATGCAACAATTCCCTATGAAGACATTGCATTTCCCACAGGAATGACAAATCCAGGGAACAGAAACAGATGCAGGATAATCTCAGACTGCGTTAGCAAAGTTCAGCTCCTCAGGCTGAACTTGTCTTCACTGAGTTCACGTGGCGTCCCTGAAGTACATGCATACACCTGGGGCCAGAGGTCCAGAAGAGCGTGTAGGAATGAGGCTGTTAAAGCTGTTAACAAGCTTCAGTCAGGGCATTTATTTTGGCATGCACATGGGAGCTAAGCTCTTCTTGAAGTGTTAAGTTCATTAAAAATTCAGAAGAGATGATGATGATGATCTAATCACGATTTTAGGAATAAGGCCCTGTTTTGGGATAAAATGGCCACGTGAAGAGGGGCCAATGGTTCATTAACTTCATCATGAAAGATGTGCTACGCATATCTAGTTTGCATTTGGCTAGTGCCAACTTCCAACTGCTTTGTCAGTGAGCCTGAAGATCCCTCTGCTATTGAATCTTTGTGGTTTGCGTAGGCTATGATCAAGCTATCATTTAACTTCCTCTTAATACCAATAAGGTTTTCTTGAGGCTGTCACTCTACATCATGCTTTCTAAACCCTTGATCACATTCATGGCTCTTCTCTGAACTTTCTCCAACTTATCATCAGTCTTCCCAAACTCTGGGTAGCCAAACTGGACACAGCATTCCTATACCTGCTGCTCCAGTTCCCAGTAGGGGTAATATGACCTGACTACACTATACCTCCCTGGACTGCACACAGAACTGCACTGACTATCTAACAGTTACACCTTAGGAAAGATATAGACAAAAAAATAATACGACAAAGTCATATGTCACAGCTGTGATGTCGCAGCTACGTTGCGCAACTACAACGTTGCAGGTGTGATTTGAGTTGAAAAACATAAGGCCAGTGACAAGGAACTCCACCCCAGAGAGATGTCAGATCAACTGAGCAGTGATTGGCTGAACCACCTCTGATGTCACAGTCCCATGATTTGAGAACAACAGGCTTAAAAAGAAAGGTTACAGTTAAACAGCACTTTCCTCCCTACTTGGCCTCATAATGCAAAAGGACAGAGCAGACTGAGAGATGAACTGAGCACCTGCCCATCCCTGAGGAGCACAGTGGGAGTGCCAGCAGGCATCCAGGAGCCCCTGGATGCTGGACATCTTTGAGTTTCTCGGCCTTGGCGGAAGAGGCACCAAGCCACTTCCCGACTGCTCCACCTTTCCTTTGAGATGGTGGACTATTACAAAGTCCTTGGACTGCAAAAAAGTGCCTCACAGGATGACATTAAGAAATCCTACCGCAAACTGGCACTAAAATGGCATCCAGATAAGAATCCCAACAACAAGGAGGAAGCTGAAAAGAAATTCAAAGCAGTTGCTGAGGCATACGAGGTTTTGTCAGACCCTCAGAAACGATCTCTCTATGACAGACCCGTTAAGGAGAGCAGGTCCCAAGGAGGAAGAGGTGCCGCAGCCCGTAACAGCCCGTTCGATTCCAGTTACATATTCCGTAACCCCGAGGAGATTTTTAGGGAATTCTTTGGAGGGTTGGATCCCTTTGCACATGATTTCTGGGACAATTCATTCGACAGCCATGGTGAAAGCAGGCACAGAACAAGTGGAAGGGGAAGCGGCCTCAACTTGTTTCCTGACTTTGTGCGGTCATTTATATCATTCAATTCATTCGGCCCCAGTGAGCAGACCACCTTCTCCTTTGGTGGGGACACACCTGGGTCACACAGTTTCAGATCAGTCTCCACCACTAGTGAAGTGATCAACGGCAGGAGGATCACCACTCGGAAAATCATCGAGAATGGGCAAGAGAGAACAGAAGTGGAAGAAGACGGCCAATTGAAATCTGTAAAAGTAAATGGAAGAGAACAACTGAAATGATAACGTTCCCCAGCACAAGCATTAACTGCAAGCTGTTGGGAAGCACTCTCATTGCTCAACAGATGGGATCTACTATGAGCAGTACTAATAAACGGCTGCGCTGAGTTCATGACACAACCGATGCAGACTTCTCAATGGCTTGCAAGAAGTACTTGGCAGGTGAGACATGGAGTTACACTAAATTAAAGAGTGGGACTGTACTAACTCTAGGTAAAGTGATATATAGTCCTTGTTCAGTAAGCAGATGCAGTGGATACAGCAGCCTTGCTGCTTTGCTAAAGAGACCAAGTCAATGAATATATATAGCAAGAGGAGACAGATTCGTTGATGGACAGGCCCTAGGTAAGAGAACTTTATGACAGGTTTCTCACCTCTTGAAAGAGATCCTTTTGCCAATGTTTAGGTCTGCTGCCTGGAAGAACAGACACTTGCGTGACCCTCATACACAACCCTGAGGCTGAATGAAGAATATCCTGCCTTTGGCCTTTAACGCTAGCGTGGTGTTAACACATGATGAGAAAAATATACATCGAGAACAGTTTTTGTACACAGGCAAGAAGGTAGGGGGAGCTTCAGTGGGTCATGCAGCACACAGAGGAGGGGGACTGCCATAGGAATAACCAAAGGGAGACTTCAGTGAGGAACAGGAGGAAGAACGAGTTGTTCCTCATAAGCTGTAAAAGAACATAGGGGATTTCTTGAGAATGTCCTGAAAATTATGACAGGAGATGCAGAGGGAAGCACTGTGTCACTCAGGGGCTGAAAGTGAGCAGGAAGGTGGTACATTTGGCTGTCAGACTGGAAGAACCCATGGTCGCTTTCTGCTTGGAGTCATTCAAACAAAAAGAGCTAAATTCAGACCATAAGCAAACAGATTCCAGAGGGCTGAATTTAGCTTCTGCTTGGTGCAAAGCTGGATGTGAGGAGCTAGATGGTGCTTTACCATCCTTATTGTCTAGCTTCCCCCTGCAAGAATCAGTTTACAACTTACTTCTTGCATCGCCTGGCAGCACACTCGCTGCCTTCGTGCTCCACTGAGCTAGGGAACATGCTTCCCACATTTCCACCCTCCCCGATGCTGACATGAACTGCCAAGCCTTGCTTCTTGCCTGGCCAGATCACCTTAGGCATTTAAAATCTTACACGCCTCTTATTTTCAGTCCCACATCACATACCCTTGAGTTTCCCAGCTTGCCCTGCCAACTGATTTCTCCCTGGAGAGTGGAACTAGCACTCAGGGACATTTTCACTCTAATCCAGATCGCAATTGCTGCCTGTGTTTGGGCAGGTCTTTGCATCTGTTTCCTCCCCTGTAAAATGGGAATAACAGACTCCCATTTGAAGGAGGCTGAGAGGCAGGGATACTCATAAAGGACTCTGAACATTAGGCACTAAGTTAGATTAACCAGAATACTGTCACCTCCTAATCAAAATCTTTTACATTTGTAAAGAAAAATGTAGCTTAAATCACCCTTCTTTGCAACTGATGCCATGTCCAGCTTGGAAAAACAGACCAGAAGAGTATTTGCCATGTTAAGGGCTGCTGAGTCCCTGTGAATCCCCTTCCCAGTAAGAAAAAGGCACATCACTGAGAGGCAAGCCAAAGTCTTAGTGCATCCTGGGTTCATGGAGGGAAGCCAGCAGTGACAGGAGCAGGGACAACACTGGCATCTCTATGTAGAGCCCAGGCCATCACTGAGAATCCACATCTGCTGCTCGTCCATGGTTTGGGAGCCATAAGTAGTCCTGCAGGCACTGGGACCCTGGGGCTCGCAAAAAGCAAGAGGGCTTGATGGAGGAAGATTATTTTGGTCAGAACAAAGACAAGCAAGGACTTGTATTGGTACTCTGTGCAGACACCATGTTCATGTGGGAGAGCCTTTTGAATTCACCTTATGTTACTTGGAAGGAACGTCAGGGTAAAAAGAGACACTTCTGTCATCACAAAGTTTGTACTTGTATGAAAATATCTACTTGACTTACCAGTGTAAATGGCAAAGCCTTCCTTGTTAGACTAGATCAGAAACAGGGCCTGAGTGCACACAAAGGGGCCGAGGGACAAGTTGGATTTAATGTCAGGAGAAGCGAAGGCTGAAGGAGCTTGTTGTTCAAGGGACATCTATTTTCACTTAATTTTGATAGCTCACTGAGGAAATCTAAATGGGGTAACAGAAGCGCACGTCTCAGCATCTCCCAGTGCTGTAACCCATCTCCAAATACCCACACATCACCCTGCACAGAACAAGGTGATGGCACATCCCCTTGCTTCACTGACCCCTCTGACCCATACAAAATACAGCTGCTAACAGCTGTAGCAGTGACTCTGCTCAGGTCTTTCCTTCTACTTGACTCTCCAAATGCACCTCCCAGAGTAAAATCAAGTAGGGAGCAGAACCTGGCAGATAGCAGTCTTTGCAGCTAACACCAGGCTGTCCAAAACCCGAGGTGACCAAAACCCACACTCAGTTCTGCAAGGTCTGGTCTCAGCCTCTGTAACCAACAGAGATGTATGATCAAGGTGCACCTGTTGCACTGGAAGCTGAAATGGTCTTTGCTCAAAAGACTATGTTCTGAAATCTGAACCAGAGTTGAATTCCCAGCTCCTCAACCTCTTCAGCTTGCTAGAGCTAAAATTTTGGTTCAGATCTGTCTGTATGCAGGTCCCTCAAGATTTCTTGATCTGTGATGAAGATACGCAGATCAACATACAACTCAGACCTGACCTGCCTTGGGTCAGCAATTCCCTTTCTTGCCCAGAGAGCAGACAATATCTAAGAGCAAGCACTTTGCTTTCCCAGCACTTG